TTGTCTTGTTGGTCTTTTTTTTCTTGTCTTTTTGGTGATGAGTTCGCTAGGCCTGTCTAGCGCTCGGGCCTCTTTTGGGGTCTTGCTCTCTTAGCTTACACTCTTTATTCTTTATAAAATTATTCTTTATCTCAAAAAAATATATATGTTTTGGTATCATATTAAATTATTATCTCACTTAAGAGTTTAGTAAGTAGAAGCTCGCCATTATGTATTAATAATAGAGGCGGCCACTTTGACCAGAGTTTCATTCAACATTCAGTATTATCTTATCTTCTACAAGCATGTGAAGCCTCCTTTGGAATTTTTGCTTTGATCAATCACCATCATGAAGTGTAAGCAGCCACCTTTCAACATAATTTTGGAATTACCTTTCCTTTGTTTTGTTTGTTCATAAGTACAAATCTTATTGCTTTTGTGCTGTTGTGGACCAAGAAAGAAGAAAGAGAGATCATCAAAGAGGAAAGAAAACAAAATTAATGGAGATTTCAGAGCAAAATGTGAAGGGTGAAGCTCATATTTTGTGTTATAGTTTTGCGATTCAAGGTCACTTGAACCCTATTCTTCAGTTTTGCAAACGTTTGGCCTCAAAAGGCCTCAAGGTGACTCTAGTCTCCACCATTTCAGCCAGCAGCAAGCTCATCAAAACTCAATCCTGCAGCTCCATCGATGTTGAGCTCCTCGATGTCGAGCTCAGGGATACTCCTAATAACTCTAAAGAGGGCGAAAGAGATGAATCTCAACATTATTTCGAGCATTACAAGACTATTGTTGCACCGAGTCTCGCTGCGTTCATCGAGAATCAAATGAGTTCTAACTACCCGCCTAAATTTCTCGTTTATGACTCGATTATACCATGGGCACTAGACATCACGAAGAGATTCGGTATCGATGGAGCTCCATTTTTCACTCAATCTTGGTCTTGTAATACCATTTATTATCAGTTTTATCGAGAGAAAAGCAAAGTTAATGCTTTTGAAGATCAAGCTATGGTGTTGGTGCCTTCTTTGCCACCGCTCAAGATCAATGAGCTACCATCGTTTCTTAATGGAAGTGGCACTTACCCGTCTATCATAGACCTGTGCCTCAATCAATTCTCCAATATTGAAGAAGTAAACTGGCTATTCTTTAGCAGTTTTGATAAGCTGGAAGAGGGGGTAAATTTAGTTTATTGACTGTTCGTATATGAATCTTTTGTTTTTATTTTCACAAAATAGAGAATTTGGGAGCTAAGAGAGAAGATTTTTCGTTTAAAATTCAATTTTTTCTTCTTCTTTTTTCGTTTATCTTCTCCCTCCACTTTCATAAAACAAAAACTTCAGTTTCAAATCAAGATTATAGCACAAAATTGCATACGGAAATCAATTCATAACATATCAGAGACAAGTTATTCGAGACCAATAAAATAAATGTTAATTTGAAAGGATTTTATCGGTTATACAAATATTAAAATTCCATATATATATATGGTGTGAGTATGTGTTTTTAGATAGCTATATGTTTTTCATTTTTATGTTTAAAATACTATTTTCAGAAAACAACTTAATGTCTTTTTCCTTTTTCGTATTTTTCAATCATTTTTACTTCTTTAATTCCCATTTTTCAAGTGATTTTTGCACTCCCATCATGTTGCTTTGAAGATGAGTTTCAATAGGCTAATTTAATTTCTCACAGGCAATCACCTGGATGGCAACTCAACTTCCAGTCAAGGCAATCGGACCAACCATTCCATCAAAATACTTAGACAATCGGTTAAAGAACGACAAAGATTATGGCCTCAACCTCTTCAAACCAAACACCGAAACCTGCCTGAAATGGCTTGACTCAAAGCAACCAGCCTCGGTCATTTACGTTTCATTCGGAAGCCTGGCAGCCCTTGAAAAAAACCAAATGGAAGAAATCGCATGGGGGCTAAAGAACAGCAACATCTTCTTCTTGTGGGTAGTCAGGGAATCCGAATGCGAAAAGCTTCCGGAAAATTTCTCAGAGGAAACATCCGAGAAGGGTTTGGTGGTGAGCTGGTGCTGTCAGCTAGAAGTTCTAGCTCACGAGTCAGTGGGGTGTTTCATGACACATTGCGGGTGGAATTCGACGCTCGAGGCGATAAGCGTGGGGGTGCCGATAGTGGCAATGCCGCAATGGGCGGATCAGCCGACGAATGCCAAGTTTATTGAGGATGTGTGGGGGGTTGGGATGAGGGCGAGGGGGAATGGAGAAGGGATTGTGAAAAGAGAGGAGATTGAGGTTTGCGTAAGGGAAGTCATGGAAGGAGAAAGAGGGAAGGAGATTAAGAGGAATTCAAAGAAATGGAAGGATTTAGCGAAAGAGGCAGTTGATGAAGGTGGAAGTACTGATAAGAACATACAAGAGTTCGTTGCAAAAGTTTTATATATGTAGTGAGATTTTATTTCTCAAGTGTGAGAAAATCCATGCTAGCATGGGTACTCACATACCATTATGAATTGGTACTGCAAACCAATTAAAATTTGACATATGTCTCTTAAATTTTATTATTATTATTTTGATAACTAGGGTGTCCTCTCAACTAATCCCTGTCGGATACATTAAACACCCTACAAACTCAATGGATTAGGTAAGACATAAATATAATAAATGATCAGTTTGTAGGACTCAACACAAGATTATACAAGAGTAACCCACTCAGATGGCTAAAGTCTTGTCATCCAGCCCCGAGACCAATGGTTAAATTTTTATAAACTAAATTTAGTTAGAAAAAAGGTTGAAGGTATGTAAGTTTTTTTATTATTTTTCATTAAAATTAATAACAAATCACTATTAAATATCTGTTAATTGAACAATTTGTAGCTTGGATCCTCCTAGTAAAGAGTTAAAAAATTTGTACCCTATCTGATAATATCTTATAAAAATTTATCATAATAGCACTATAATTAATGATATCATTGTAATAACGATTGAATGGTATTTTAAAAATGTGAAAATGAGAGTTAGCCAATATGGTTCGTAATTGTCAATTATATGGCTTTAGGTCTTATGGATTTAGTGACCGACATTAAAGTACCAGTGTGACTTTTGGAAAATGCCCTCAATCAATAATTTATTCTTTATCTTATTAATGTATGGTTGTTATGTGACATGCTTTTTTGGGTATTACATCATTTCTTTTGTTAGTTCTTAAGAGAAATTGCATTGATACCCTTAGATTAGTAAATCAACTCTCTAAAGACTTCACAAAAAAGACAATGAAACCCCCAAAAAGGCAAAAACTACAATGCTTTTATATCTTTCAAGGGTGCCGTCGTTAGTTTTCAAAGTATACGGGAGTTCGACAATAGTGAAAGTTCGGGCCTTCGGGGGTGTGATGTGAATGTAATTCCTGCAGAAGTAAGCTTATAAAAAGCTAGCTCCATGAGCTTGGGCTCAGGAGTGAAGAAAATGGAGAGCCAAGAGCCAAGAGCAAGAAATGAAACTCATATCTTATGCTTCAGTTTCCCTTCACAAAGTCACTTGAACCCACTTCTTCAATTCTGCAAACGCTTAGCTTCAAAGGGTCTTAAGGTGACTAATTTCGACCAATTCATCAACCACAAACTTCATTCAAACCCAAGAAAGCTCGATCACCGTCGAGCTCGTTTCTGACGGGTTCAAGGAAGGAGAAAAGCCAACAAGTTTTGAAGATTACTTTGAGAGTTACAAGATCTTTGTTTCGAAAACCCTAGCTGAGCTCATTGAGAAACAGCTTCGTTCTAAATACCCACCAAAGTTTCTCATTTATGATCATTTCACACCATGGGCTCTAGATGTAGCTCGAAGATTTGGCATTGATGGAGCTCCGTTTTTTCCTCAATCTTTGGCTGTTAATGCCCTTTGCTATCATTTTTACCAGGGGAGGTTCAAAGTTCCTGTAAAAGAGTTGACAGTATCACTACCTGCTCTGCCACAACTAACAGTCAACGATCTACCATCGATATTCATTGATGAAAATGACAAGAACCCATTTTTTTTAAACTTAATCATCAACCAATTCTCGAATCTGGGAGAAGCGAAATGGCTGTTTTGTAACACTTTTGATAAGCTGGAAGATGAGGTAAATTCAGAGATTCGATGCAGTCATATGTATATATTCATGCATGCAGCATTCAAATTTGATGAAATTTGTAAATTTCCATCAGGTATTGAGCTGGATGGGGAGTCCTTATCCGATTAAGGCAATTGGACCAACTATTCCATCAATATACTTAGACAAGAGGCTGGAGGATGACAAAGATTATGGCCTCAGCATTTTCAAACCAAAGACTGAGACTTGCATGAAGTGGCTAGACTCTAAGGAACCCGGATCGGTCATTTATGTGTCATTTGGAAGCTATGGTGCCCTTGGAGAAGAGCAGATGGAAGAGTTAGCATGGGGGCTGAAGAGGAGCAACAGACTCTTCTTGTGGGTGGTGAGGGAATCCGAAACCGGAAAGCTTCCGAGGAACTTCTTGGAGGAGACATCTGGGAAGGGTTTGGTTGTGAGCTGGTGTTCTCAAGTAGAAGTTCTATCTCATAAGTCGGTGGGGTGTTTCATGACACATTGTGGGTGGAACTCAACGATTGAGGCTGTGAGCTTGGGGGTGCCAATGGTGGCGATGCCACAATGGGTTGATCAAATGACTAATGCTAAGTTTATTGAAGATGTGTGGCAGGTTGGGGTGCGGGTAAGAACTAATGAACGAGGAATTGTGACAAGAGAAGAGATTGAGTCTTGTATAAGGGAAGCCATGGAAGGTGAGAGATCAGAGGATTTCAGAAGGAATTCAGAGAAGTGGAGAGAATTTGCTAAAGAGGCAGTAGATGAAGAGGGAAGCTCTGATAAGAACATAGAGGAATTTGTTGTAAAACTTCCATGCAGCTGATGTCTGTGTATGCTTTTGAACAAATGTAATGCAAAAAGCTTAAAGTTCAATAAACTTGAACTAAAGATTCAAGAGATTTTTCGGGTGCACAAAAAAAAATTCTGTCCCCAATTCCGAACTTGAATTCATCTAACAAAATCACATCAAATATGAAGAAAATCCATCATTTCTGTCTTCCAATATTCAATAGAAATGAAAATATAACTGAAGTAAGACTAAGTACAAAGTTAACATAGGACTAGTAGTTCATCCTACGAACACAAAAGCATAGTAAAGAAACAATACGACATATACATGAACATTTAATTAAGCAAGATACAACATCTGTCATTCAATAGCTTAAAGTGGATCTAATATCAGGAACAACTTTTCGAACTAAACTATAATAGAACAACAACATTATTTTTCTGTGTGCATAAAAGCTGTTTTTATCTATCAGAGCTTTTTATATTTTTTACATTGCTAGCAAGTCCGTCCCTTTTATCAAAGGGCTCAAAGGAATAAGGAAACTACTTCTATATGTATGACCATAAAAGGACATTACCTAGATGTAGAGAGCCAACATGTATAAAAAGGTACGTTGGAACCTGAAAAGTTGAGAAATTTCTCAGCCGCAACTCCAGAGACAACACTTGACCATATTAGAGTACAAGCCATGTAATCTGTGAACAAGGAGCTAACTGGGGAACTACTATCAAGATGTCAAGAGCAAAAGAAAGTCAAACCAGCCACTTATCCTCTATGTTCTGCCCTTTCTGTTGAATTGGTATTTTCTGTCCAACTGCCCAATTTGACAATGTCTTCCACAAGAATCTTACCATCTGTTCCAATTAGCAACACAGGAAATAATTTTCATCAATCATCACAGTAGAAGCTTAATAATTTGAAGTGAAAAAAAAAGAACACTGAGATAATGGTAATTGTTAAAAAAAATAATAATAATAAAGTTTCTTGCAACTATTAAACTTTCCAAAAGAGTTTCCTTGTCTTCATTGAAAGTTGAAGTATATTTATTCGAAAAACATCGCCAAAAAGCATTATACATACTAAAAGGAACATAAATTTATACCTGTATCAGTAACCCTGCCAAAAATAAAAAATATTCACAGCCTTGCTCACCTCTATCTTTGGAAAGACTGCTAATGAGTTCTTGAACACCCTGCTTCCCTAATGTATCCTTCAAGTACAAAGCAGCACCAGCCACCTCTTCAGGAGTAACTTTCCCATCAAGATCCCTGTACATACGCAGCAGAGTTGATATTTTACTACATGAAACGAAGATTGAAATGGAAGGTTGCACTTAAACTAATCAAACTGAAACAATACTGTGAGGAATAGATAATAACCACAGGGAATAGAAGTAATATGAAGACAGAATGTACACAGAAAGACCGCTAAATCAGAACAACCTGGATCTTAATGGACAGTAGCATCAAGGAATAAACAAGATTAACAATAGCTTAAGTGAAGTTGATTTTCAGCCAACATTCCACAAAATATAGTTCTCATTCCATCTAATGGCTGTCTCAAACATTATAGAAGACATGAACCTGGCAAATTTACCACTTTGGTAGCCAATTTATGAGCCATATCAGTTACTACTACCAAGATCAGTTTTTATTACAACAGAAAAATGCAATCACTACCGGAAAACAATGATAAACCTGTCAAGTAGTTGCCAACGATCGCCAATTTTAGCATCGACATCATCAATTTCCTTCTCAAGATTTTGAAGCATAGCATCAACCTGAAGCATGAACAAGGAATCAAATCAGTTAACAATAGGGTAATATTTATGGACTCTTCTAGGGTTTACTTAAAAAACCAGCGGCCCTCAATTCTTTCTGAAGGCACTAATAGGTTCCCTAGAGGAGTCCCTGAAAATTACCCTTCATGATATCCAAAATGCACGTAATATGAAAAGAGGAGCATCTAATGAGTTTTACCCTTTCTCTAAGTGCTGAAGAAACCTCATCCTGTTCAGCCACTTCATCAGAATGGTCTGTTTCTTCTCGAGCTGCTTTGTAAGCCTTTATGGCATCTTTCTCACCGTCAGTACCCTCTCTGTCCACCATACTGTTGTAAAGTCCTATCTGCATACATCAAGGATCAGAAGTTTTTTTTTTTTTTTTTGGGGGGGGGGGGGTTGGCGGCGCGGGGGAAGAAGAGGTACTACATATGCCAAGAGATTTAAAAAAATTCTTAATAATTGTTTGCCATATTTCTGTATATCTAAGGTTTACATATACCTCTTTATTGACAAGCCCCAGGAACTCTTCACGCTCGCTACTCACTGACTGCAAGATTAGAGAAGCCAAATCAAAATAAATTGAAGAGGATAACAACTGCGAAGGTCGGAAGGCATTTAAAGAAAAAATAGCAAACAAGCAGCCAATTATTTATAACTTAGAAGCTTCAATATCCAGTCCTTACAGATGCTGAAGCTAAAATAGCCAACGCTTGACTAAGTTTACACAGCTGCTCCTGCTTTTCCAATGTTCTTGCTCTAGCTTGTTTGTGTGCTTTACTTGCTGTTGCTATAGTCATTTCTTTCAATGCAACATCCTCTTCACTAGCTCTATTTTCCTTCATCCTCACTAACTCTTTTTCCTCTTTTTCTTGCTCCTCCTACAACATGATTAATTGAACATATTCAAAAGAAGATCTTAAGGCTTATTAAGATATTCCAATGCTAAGTTGGAGACTAAAGGCACCCTTTAATTCAGGGCTCCAATCACATTTTCGACTTTCTAACCATATCTGTTAACTGAACTTTATTGAAATTTGTACATAAACCAAAACATTTTCTAATTTCACCTTGATCAATTCTTCCTGCATCGCAAGGTACTCCAGTTTCCTTCTCCTTTCTGAAACAGAATCTTCAGATGGCAAAGCTGTAACACCAACAGTACCCACAACCTCGTCAGGGAGAGAAGAAAGTGTAGCTCCAACAGCTTCCTCTGGTCTCAGCTTTCCAGACACAGTAAAAGACCTGCTTAGGTAACAGAGTAATTATTTATTAGAAGATGGCCCAATGCAAGCATAAGAGGATAAAAAAAGAATGATGTACGGAGCTTTGAAATTACCTCGAAAGGATCAAAAGCGAAGATGGGACTGAATGGTTAAGAGACAAATCCAACCAATCACGGAGCTGCAGAGAAGTTAACAATCTTTACAAATTAAAAGGCCAATCTTCTATTTGATAATTTGCCAAATCAATAAACTTTCACCAGCTAAATGTGCACACTTATTCCAACATTTGACACTAATTTTGGCGTTCTTATGCTTAATAGCACATATATTCACGTCACGGTTATAAGCATACAACTATAGAATGCACTACTGTTTTTGTTCTTTTTATTTTTTGGTTTAACATTGTCCAGTTCATTACCACTAACAAGTAAAATAAAGAATAAAAATATAAGAAATTTACAAGAAATAAATTTCTTTTAAAAAAAGAACAAGTTAGACTGGGAACTAAGATAAACCAAAACAAAACATGAAGTGATGCATACAAAATAAAAACAGATTACATTGCAGCCCACAAAAGTCACTTTCCTACATATTAGTAAATTTAAGTTACATCATAAATATATGTTCAATATACATAAATTAATCAACAATCAAATATTCTTTCTTTTCTTTGGCTTCCAAGGTTCCTGCATCCACCTGACACTTTCAAAATTCATATAAGAATTATGTTTCCTCTAATCAGCATATTCAGAATTGTACAATACATATCATGTTCCTACAATAATGAGTGAAACATGAGGTTGTTACAAAGCAAATAAATATCTAATCTAGAAATTAACTCAACATGAAACCATTGTGCCTTAAATTATACTGACGAGCAAAACATGAGGTTTTTCCAAAGCAAATAATACGCAATCTTGAGATAACATCATCAACAGAAACCATTGCAGTTTAAAATTATCATATCCATCATTTATAAATTGTAATTCTTATTGCATATGTTATCCAAACTTAATTTTGCCGAAGCTACAATATAGTAGTATATGCTTAATTGACACATGGAAAAGAGATATGTGCTAGAGGTTTATTGAAGCAAACCTGTTGACGCATTTCTTCAACTGACAGCAATCCAAGCATGCCTCTCTCCCTACAATCGTCACTAAGTTCAGCTTCTGAAAGAGACTCCACGCCCTCAGCTTGAATCAACATATCATCATTCTTAATCCTGCAAAGCACAAGAAATTAACAAAAACAAGAACAAGAACAAATATGATGAAATAATATTTATCAATTAACTATAAATGTCATACAAAGTAAAGAACCTATTTTAACAGAGAGCCCAACAACTTATGGTACAAACTTGTTTAATCTTTCTCCAAGTAGTGGTAAGCCAGATGAGCCAGTCACTAATCAACTCTCTCAAAAGGTCAATCCAACCATTTCATTTGAGCCTTTGTTTCGTAAACTAAAAGATGATAGAAAGCAAATTAATAGAATCGATTTGAAGTATCTTACCATTGTAGTCTTTTCCGAAGCATAAAACGCAAATATGCATCTGTTCCAAAAGGACTTATGCCCATATATTTGCACATATTCACCAATCGAGGCCTAAGAAGAGCGAAATAAAGCAGAAATAAAAATATCCGTCAAGCAATCTCTCCCAGCAAGCACAGAAAAATAAAGTTAACTTGATATTCAGATGCATTGAATCGAAATGGCAAACTAAAGGCAACAGAAGCCGACCTGCTGATATTATCCAAAGTAAGTTCATCATTAAACAACTTAGCAAAGCCCAAAATCTCCTCATTAGAGACACCCGCACCCCTTCTAACCTGCATATCAGGATGGACAGGTAAAAAGTAAATATTAGAGAAGAAAAGAAAAAAAAAAAAAAAGCATACCAATCGCAGGGATTGAACCCATACCCTATTCAAAAATTCATCAAGATCCTTTGCAGTTTTCCTAATTTCCCCACTTCGTGAGTTTTGAACTTCTTTTGCCATTTCTTTGACTGTGTCCTGAAGAAACTTGGCGTACTCTATTCTAGCATTTAGCTTCCTTTTCAGAGCTTCCTACCCAAAAAACCAATTAAAGTGACATTAAGCATTCTGCAGGACCACAAAAAATTCCATTTTCTTGTAAAATCTTTACTGCAATGCATTTTATTAGTTGTGTTGTTTGTCATTACACTGTATTCTAGAGTGCATTTAAATGCAAATGAGCAGAGGATTCAAACACACAAAGCAAAAGAGCTAAATGATGCTTTAAAACAAGGAACCTACTCAATCAGTATCAAAAGAAACCAACTGGACAATAATTCCACGTCCTATGAAAGACTAAGGACTACATATTAGCTGCCTTATGTTCGTGACTGCTTCACCTTATTTCTTGTTATCACAAAGAAATCAACATATCTACAAAGACCAACATCCTACAATATACATTTCAAAACTTAAAAATAAGACTAAAAATTAAGAAAAGCACATGCATTACTGCTCCTGATATGACCATGATTTGGAAAAACATCTGCTAATTTTTAGCCTCTATGGAACATGATTGATCTCAACAAATAATATTTGCTCCAATTTCATTATAATAATAATAATCAGGTGGTACTACTGCTATTAAAAAGTTACTTGAAGAATAGTGCTAATTAGGTGATAATACTTCAACAGTCCACACATGCTTCTGTGCTTATGCAAAAAATCACTACTGGGTCTCCTAGCAAAATCAATGAGTGTGCCTACCTTCACCAGAGTAAGCTCCTTGAGCACAAGGGTTTTTAGGTGAGACGGAAACTTTCTAACAGAGATCAAGAAACTAAGGTCTTATCATAATCTTCATAGATTTTACATGCATGTGAACCATAAAACAATATTCACTTCGCATCACATTCATTGATACCCAAAAAAAACCCTCTTGACAGAAACATTTAATTATAGGGAAACTAATGACAGGGCTTTTCAAAAGGCCATTACAATCTGTACCTGCTCTTTCATCTTGTCTTGGAAGGTTGATGGCAACATATTTGGGAACAATTTAAGGAACACTGGCAACAGAAATTCCATGAAAGGGACAATAATAAAAACTGCAAAAGGAACTAGCCGAAAAATATCCGCTGTGGTTCGAGTTAGCTGTTGCCTCTCCCTCCTAGAAAGACTCTTCCCACCAGCAAGTTTTAACAGCAATCTTGAACTGATCGTCACATCAACCCACAATAACTTAAAACCCAACCAATAGTGTTGTAAAGTTGATACAAATTCCTGTTTCCAGTGAATAAGTTTCTTAGCCCAATCCTCCCTGCAAGAAGACAGAGCAAACTAAATAAGCAACACATTCCACATCCTCTTAGAGTAAGCTGTAAAACTCTTAAGAAAATAAATAGCATATTCAAGGTACTAATTTAACCTGCTCATCGAAGCTACTGCTCTCAAAGCAGGACCAATCCCCAGGAGCATGGCCCATGATCTATGCAAAACAGAATTAGCAACCTTTTGAGTTTCCTGCAACTTTTTTGCCATAGCTTTGGCTTTTGCAGTACTCAAACCTTCAACAGCTTGATCACATTCTTCAGGGGATGCTTGCTTCCTCTTTTTACTAACCAGCTCTTCATTTTCCTCATCATCACTGACCATTTCAGGTTGTTTAGCAGTAGCTGAGGAAGCATTTCGAACCGAATGTGACATCAACCTGAAACCCATTGGAGGGATGAGTTCTGATCTTCCATTCCCAAGACCCGAAACCATGATTCCATGATTTTTATGTACAAAGTGTCTAAACCCAGAAAAACCCTGCAATTCTCCTTTTGTCACTGAAAAAGCATTTGTCTTGTCTGCGCAATTGAAATCTGCACAGGTCTGGTTTGCACTGGAGCTATAATCACATAATTTACGATTCTGAACAACATGCCCAAGACATTGGAAGCCTTGGATCGACCGAGTGGAGACATTCAAATAATCAGAGATCAATCTCTTCCTTCTTAATATAGCTCTAGAAGCCATTATCAAATATTTTTCTCTCTTTACGAAGAGAATCGCATTCACATTTCTCAGAAAGTCACTGAGTTAAGCGGGCTGCAACAACATTCAAGATATACCAATTAAAACAAAAGCAGAAAAATACAAAAGGGCCTAAATAACAGAAAGCTTACACATAATTTTCATAAGACAGCACCCAAACAATTAAACCTTCTATCATACCATGTTAATTCACAAAAGACAGGACCACAAACCAAATCTAGCTGCTCATGATTAACTTGTATAGAGCTCACTCACATATCACATATACTGAACTAAAACCTATTTTGAAACTGTTAATTTTGCAAGTCAAGCTGCAGCAAAATGCCACGTGACTCGATAAGAACAAATACATTCATACATACAAAACACACACAGACACATAAATTACCACTCGGTAAATCATTTAATATATTCATTTAACTGCAAAGAATAAATAAGAAAATTTAATCCTTGAATCAGGGCAGCTAACTATAATTGGCATAAACAATTTTGTGTATTGTTGCAGTCCTTTATCACATCATTCTACATACTATTAAGCATAAAAAATCTCAACTTAAAATGCCTGCTTCAATATTTTTTAAGCATTCAATAATTTTGATATTTGCATGCAGAAATCTACAAGTTAAAAATCTACCCAGAAAAAGAAAAAAGAAACTTCAAGGATGAACTAAGCTTAAAACTTAAGTTTTAGTTTCCAAAATCAAGTCTAGACTCAAGCTTGTCATATTATTACAAATGGGCACACAATGTGACTCCTGAAAATTCTTGAGCTGACCTCTTTAAGCTCTCATCTTCATAAACCATCCTCTTGCTAACCTTAGCTTGACTCACTTGTTGTGTTTACTAATACCACTCAATTAAGCTAATAGAGAACATATTCACCAAAAAACTGATCAAATTTTCTGTGAAAATAAACCTAAAAAAATAAACTACTCTTTTCTAAGTATTCATCTAAAAAGAACTACACAGTGTCTAGAGTATCGATTAAACAACTTAACTTGAAGCATGATATAAAGGAAAAAATTGACTTAAAAAACTTGAATAACTAATAACAATAAGAAAACAAACAAAAAATTATCAAACTTAATTAATTCAAAAAATGGAATGACCTGTTGTAACCAACAAAATTTTCAATCTTCTCGATTCTTCTCCTACAGCTTCTGAGGTACCACACAGAAACAAACAGAACTAAATAGAAAATTAATCTTTTTTATGCAATTTAAATATTATTCTCCTAAATTAAAACATTAAGAAAAAAATTAAAAAAATAAATAAATACAAAGCGTCTGAGTATCCATTACACAACTTAACTTGAACCATAATATGTAGAAACCAAGACTTAACTATTAGTTTGAACAAAAAAGAACGAGCTGTTGCACGAACCAAATTTTTTCTATTGTTTCTTTTCCTACAGTTTCTGAGCTACCAAAACGAAAAAATGGAACTATAGAAAATTAAAATAAAATAAAAAATTTTTATTAAATTATAACATATTTTATTCTCCAAATTACCATTAATAAAAAAAATAAAAATAAAATCCACGCGTCTAGAAATCCATTAAAAACACTTCATTGAAGCATACATGTAGAAAACAAGACTAAAACCTAATTAATTTGGGGGAGAGAGAGAGAGAGAGACGACTGTCGTCACAACAAATTTTCTTTCTATTCGTTCTTTTCCTACAGTTTCTGAGCAACCAACGGAAACAAACGGAACTAAAAAGAAAAATACAATTACAATTCAAATTCAAATAAAACACAAAAAAAAACTAGATAATCAGAATTTCAAATAAAAAAAGGGGGAACTAAATTGGAAGCGGGAAATTGTAGGTGGTGCGTACTTACAGTGATCAGAAATCGCGGAAATTTTCCTCTTCTTTTTTAAATCTTTTTCTGGTTATTATGTTATATGATTTTTTTTTTTTTTTTTTTTTTCAAGAAATGAATTAACGAGAGACAGTGAGGGGTGTAGACTCTTCAGAGCAGAGCATGAAGAGGCAGGGTTTTAGGGAGGTATGAGTAAGAAGTTATGTTAGAGTGCGGCGCGGTGTACAGTTAGAAAGTAACGACACGTCATTTGCGTCGTTGAACGGATTGGATTTGAATTGATTTTAGGTATGGTTACATCCTCAGAAATTCGGATTATACTATATTCTCCTAATGTTTTAGAAAATATACTAAGCCCCTCCTGCTTTTGGTCAACAAAAAAGAAAAAAAGAAAGAGGTTTTACATTTGATTAAGGTCATATTACAGCTAAGATAACGTTGTCCCTATAAGATAAATCATTTAATTAATTAACAATATATACTAAGGGTAGATTTGGTCAAGGTAATATTGGATTACTATGATAATATTATTTTATATTATTTGATTACAAGTAATATAAGATTTTAGTAATTTTCAAAACCAATAATAGTTACTGTTGGTAATAGAAGAGGTAATTTACCTTTTAAGATTGCTTGGTAATCTTATTTTTATTACAATTTTATTCTTTATCAATAAATTTTTTGGATAATAATGCCTTTGTTTTAAAAACAATTTACATTAATCTACCATTACAATTTTACCCTTGTTTTAATTAAGTTTTTTGATAATAATACTCTTATATTTAAAACAAATTACAGACCACACCGCCACATAACCACCACCATCGGCAACTGGCCAACCACCGCCAACAGCCGCCAGAAGTCATCGAAAGTCACCAAGAGTATTTGGGAGTCTTTTGTATGGCCGTTTCCAAACAGCCATATAATCGTAGATCTAGCTAGAGATAACCAGATCTATTTTATCTATTTTAGTCATTTCTCGATCTAGCTGTCAACGATGAGATTGACAATTTGGTCAAAAACGACCAAATTAGATCTGGCTATTTTTCAACCAAATTAGCATATGGAGGCCATTTCTCGCCGACCATGTGCTGTCGTCAGCCGGTAATGGCTGGGTTGGTGGGGGATGCATTTGTTGATTTTTCAAACTTTTATTAGGAGGTTGTTTTTGTTAAGTTTTTCAATGTAGAGTGTTATGTTTAATAATCTAAATAATAATATTTAATAAGAGGCAATTCACTAATTTAAATAACATACTCACTAATTTATCCTCCCAATCAAACATATTAATATAACATACTCACCAATTTATTCTAACCAACCAAACACATTTTCCTAAACATTCCTAGTAACCTTTAAGCTAATCTATATTTCCATTAACATAACATTTCTAGTAATACAACAAGGTGTTTGTCTAAGCTTATAAACTGGTCAAACTAGCTAATAAATTCTAAAATTAAGTTGATCTGTTTATNATTTTTTTTTTTTTTTTCAAGAAATGAATTAACGAGAGACAGAGAGAGAGAGACAGTGAGAGAGTTTAGAGCAGAGCATGAAGAGGCAGGGTTTTAGGGAGGTATGAGTAAGAAGTTACGTTAGAGTGCGGCGCGGTGTATAGTTAGAAAGTAACAACACGTTATTTGCGTCGTTGAAGGGATTGGATTTGAATTGATTTTAGGTATGGTTACATCCTCAGAAATTCGGATTATACTATATTCCCCTAACGTTTTAGAAAATATAGTAAGCCCCTTTTACTTTTGGTCAACCAAAAAGTAAAAAAGAAGGAGGTTTTACATTTGATTAAGGTCATATTACAGCTAAGATAACGTTGTCCCTATAAGATAAATCATTTAATTAATTAACAATATACACTATAGGTATGTTTGGTTGGAGGTAATGTTGGATTATTAAGGTAATATTATCTTATATTACTTAATTATCATATTTGGTTGTCAAGTAATATAAGATTTTGATAATCTTTCAAAACCATTAGTTACTATTGATAATATAAAAGGTAATTTACCTCTATTTTTTTAGGTATTCTAAAATTACTTGGTAATCTTATTTTTGTTATAATTTTACCTCTTATTAATAAAAATTTTGAACAATAATGTCCTTGTTTTAAAAACAATTTATATTAATGTTTCATCACAATTTTACCCCTATTTTAATTAAGTTTTTGGATAATAATGTCTTTATATTTAAAACAAATTACAGACTACCACCGCCACCCAACCACCACCGTCGACAGTTGGCCAACTACTGCCGGAAGTCGTCGAAAGTCGTCGAAAGTCACCAAGAGTATTCGAGAGTCTTCGATATGGCCGTAGATCTAGCCGAAAATGGCCAGATCTATTATAGTCATTTCTAGCCAAATCCAACGGTGAGATCGACAAATCTAGTCGAAAACGGCTAAATTTAGATCTGGCCGTTTTTCAGCTAGATTGGAGTACGGAGGCCATTTTCGACCGACCGTGTGCTGTCGCTGGCAAGCTGTGGTTGGGTTGGTGGGGGTGCATTCGTTGATTTTCTGAACTTTTATTATGGGGTTATTTTTGCTAAGTTTTTAAATGTAGGGGTTATATTAATAATCTAAATAATAATATTTAATAAGAAGACAATTTAGTAATTTAAATAACATACCCACCAATCTATTCCTCCCGACCAAACATATTAATATAACATACCCAACTATTTATTCCAATCAATCAAACATATTTTCCTAAACATTTCCAGTAATCTTCAAGATAATCTATCTTTCTATTAATATAATATTCCTAATAATACAACATTCTCTAAACCAAACACACTCTAATAAAAGTACGTGTAACATCCTGTCCATTGTCAAAAATCCAACGATATATAGACAAGACAACATGTCAAGATGTTACATAAAATATGTAATTACTCGTAAGTTTAAAAACAACTTAACAAGGAGGGGATTTGATATTTTTGAAAAGTTAGAAGGGGGTGTAAGATTTTGTTTCAAGTAAACATTGTAGAGTCTATACAGGTCAACCTATCAACATTTGTTAAATGGACAAATTACACTTACATCTCAATCTCAACATTTTTTTCTCACAATTTTTCTTTGGTAGTTTATAGTTGATCAACTCGCAAATGAGTTCTATCTACTTAATTTGTAAATTACAAACTATCAAATTAAAATTGTGAGAAAAAATTTGTAACATTGATAGGTAAGATCGCCAACTACCATGCCTGTAGCATGTGTTTCACGTGCTTTCATTTGGAAGATTCCAGACTTTATTAGAAGATCCCAGACTCACTGTTATGATCCGAAAATAAGGCTACCTTCCATGTTAACCATTCAATTGTTTTTTACTTTTTTAAGCAAACGACGAGTCGGGATTATGGGGATATAATTTTGATTAATTAGCATTTAAACTTGGGTTAATGATGCATTAACATCAGCATTACAATTCTATCCTTTCCTTTTTTTTTTTTTTTTTAACTCATGAACAGGATCCAAAGGAAAATCAAAAAGTACAGTATTGTTTTGCCTTACCTGTGTGTAACTTACAATTTTTGATCTAAAAAGTAAAAAACCCTCTCACATATTTATGCAATACAATGGAACTGTTGCAGCTNAAGTTGGGTTAATGATGCATTAACATCAGCATTACAATTCTATCCTTTCCTTTTTTTTTTTTTTTTAACTCATGAACAGGATCCAAAGGAAAATCAAAAAGTACAGTATTGTTTTGCCTTACCCATGTGTAACTTACAATTTTTGATCTAAAAAGTAAAAAACCCTCTCACATATTTATGCAATACAATGGAACTGTTGCAGCTCCATTGGAGAACAGACAACGAGGGAGGAAGATCGATCCGTTCGGTTTCTTCTTTTATGCTGTGTTTAAGAAACTCGACGCGAAAATCTTCTCATTATTGTTTCCAGTGTAATCCCAGTAGAAGATAGGATCTTCATAACTCTTGACTGAAATTTTTCCCAACCTTGTTACGATTTCCTCTTCACGAAGAAATCCTCCTCTTATCTCCTGCACATATTCCATATTCGCACGTTAGAGATTAAAAGAAACTCGAGATATATTGCAGCCTAATGGACAATTTTTTGCAAATCCTACTGATGGCAAATCATCAACATAATACTATAAGCATCATTTTTGTATCTCTTTTGTTCCCATTGAAAGAAAATATGTAAATATGCCAAGCTATGCTAGATCAAGTTGTACTGAGTTTTTTTTTTTTTTTTTTTTTTTTTCGTAATCGTGGTGTTCGAACCAATTTATACATACTTCAACTAATCTCTGAGGTTCATTGAATATTTTACAAATCCAAATAATCAATTAAATCACAATATTATTATAGTAAATGACCTAAAGTTTAAACCTAAAAACTCAAAAAATTAAGTAAATATCTTTGACTATCAGGTGAATCACTTGGGATTTAAGTTGCGCGAGTTGTGTTAAGAGTCTTCGACATTGATTTATCTAATGTAACATGTGGTATAATATGCATCTTCAGATAGATCAGGTAACGGAAGCATACCAAGGAAACTTGAAAGTGTCTTTCCACCAACCGTGTTTTGAGCCATTAGAAACTATCTTGTTCAACCGTACTATGATCTCAGAAAAAGTTGGCCTAACTACAGGTTCGGGATGCCAACATTCCTCAATCAACCTGCATATAAATCAACTACTGTTATTATGAGAAGGGGGAAAAGAACATCCACGAAAGAGGACATTTTATCTAAAGAGTCAACCCGAAAATAAATACTCATGCTTATCTAATGATTGACCTTGAGCACTTTAATCAAGGATAAATAGCTCAGTAAACCTGAGACCAAACTATACATTAAGACTGGGACTTCAGCATCTTGAAACGATAAGGAATTTGGGTTTTATCATTTCTCAAATACATTACTTACTCTCTTAAATCCAGAGGATAACTTCGTGCTTTGATTTTGAATGGTGGTCTCTTTCCTTCACAACACATAAGTTTTACAACCTCTTCAGGACTTTTGGGATGGAAAGGCTGTACTCCCTCAATCATCTGAGCTCATACAGAAAAAAGTAGAAAAATATATTGACAACGTGAGTTTGACTAATAAAAAACTCTAATGTAAATGATCTGAATGAAACATAAATAAGAAACCGATAATGAATTGGCTGCTGCAGAGACATGCCAACAATCGTAATTAGAAGTCTTCAAATCAGAAACTAAGATTTATTTATTACACATTACACACAATACCTTTAAAAAGAAAGTCGTTTCTAATTAAAAAGGAATAATTGAACTTATGTTTCCTAGAAATGCAACAAGCAGAGTGTAAAGAATGCTAGCATATCAGGCACCCAGAAAAGTGAAAATGTATTAAACAATTTGAACACAATTATGAGTAAAAAAGACATAAACTCAAATAATAATCATCATGTGTTGCCTGGTCTTGAACACTGAATTAGTTGGAGAAGTAGAACATTTCCATGTTCGATTAAAATAGATTATATAAAAAAAAAAAATTAAAAGAAGTACTAGTAGTAGAAAGATACCTCATATAAAATGATTCCAAAAGAGTAAGCATCCGCACTTCTGTCATACATTTCATCTTCATACACCTCAGGTGCCATATAGAAATCTACAAACAGTAAGTAAAATCATCAATTGAACCCAAATTTGTAAGTATTCTTGGTATCTTCTCACCAAGATATAGTTCATTAATGAATTATCTATTCATGAATAATCCTTTCATGCACCAGTTACTTGCATAGAACATTGCATATATGTTTGCCTCATAACAAATTCATTTATGTGCCATTATGGGTAAGAATTACACAAACTACACTCACTTGTATTTAATAATCCAAACCTGAACATATTAACCATTAGATACATCTGTTGGTTCACAATTATGTAAACTTTATAAATGAAAGAAAAAAGATTAAATATTGGTTAAAAGTAAGATGGGGATAGAGAGCCTGCAACTGAATATTCAGATATCAAGGAAGAACAAGATGGTTGTTCTAATTGATCTTCTACTTTCATCCTCTTAATTAATGAATAGAAGAGACCCACAAAGTGACTCTTCCAAGGGCCCAACTTTTGGTACAAGGTCAAAACCCGAAACTCTTTGGAAACTATATTTCCAAGTCCATATACCTGCAGCTTCCTGTTATTCAAGTAAAGCTACTAGCCATAGTCACTTTCAAATATCAAGATACACACAGAAATGAAATGGGATGAAAGGAAGTTCTGCTTTAAGAAGTGCCGCCAAGAAAACTGGAGCATCATATGTTGGAGTTCACTATTTTATGTATTTCAAGTTTCAATATCAACACAAAAGGCAATGCCATTTCTTAGTATATGATATACTTGAAGTTAACACGAGAAACAAATGCATCAGGGTTAAGAGTTCTGATGTGCTAAAAAACTCACTTGCTGGCTGCTCTGCTAGTGATATATCAGGTGAATTTTTTGATGAATTTACCAATCCAAATCCAGTTATCTTCAAGTGACCTCCACTATCCAGCAAAATATTTCTGGCACCTTACGAAAATTTCAAATATTAAAAACAGTGCATCCCGAGAGAAAATATCAAAATTCAATCTGAAACTTCTACACATATCAGAAAAGCCTCTGCATTTGTTGTCTTACTTTGGCTTCAAATCACCATGAATGATTGGATCTGGTTTACATTCGTGAAGATAATTCATGCCCCTGATGACAAGAAATTGAACAAGATGTCACAACACGCCCCTCCATACATTCTTAGACAAAACAAGCAAATCCATTAGGACAAGAAACACAATGATAAATGCATGCACCACAGATGCGTGAATTTCCTATTAAGATTTATGATGTAGAAAAATTTGTAGATATACACTGGACTTGCCTAGCAATATCAAGAGAAAATCTAAGAGCTTTTGATGGAGATAGTCGTCCTTTCTTTTGAAGGTAGCTTCCTAAGTCACCCTGCAAAATACTATCAAAATAAACAATGTTAAAGTTATAATTTAAACTGATTGACTAAATATATAACACAGTCAATGAATCATGCTAAAAACAGGAAAACATGAGACACAACCCCGCATGGAAGATAGAAGATAAAAACCACATAGTAGCAATTCAAAGAAAATTTCTAGGCAGCAATTCTCTTTTATAACTTTTAATGAAGATAACACTTGTATTCAGAAAAAATGTAAACAGAACATTGAGTTCAATTGATTTCATAAGCATCTTTTTGTGCTATTGACATTGATTTTTTAATCGTCCATAGCTTTTCATGGAGCTGATCAATTCATGCTGTCTAAATCTTTTTATGATTCTTCAGATGGATTTTAACTTTTATAAACAGCTTTTTCACTCCCTTTTAATTATTTTTTCCAATCAATAATCGTAATAGTTCCTTCTAAAGATAAGATTGCATAAGCATCTACCTCCTACAACAAGCATTCCATCACCTAAGTTCTATCAATGTGCACTAGCCATTGCATCCTCTCTCATAAAATCACACAACTTAAAGAGGAGAGACAAGCAAAATTAAGAGAAGATAATGCACTTAACCTCTCCAAATATTCTTTATGTAGAACATGGAGTTGGAAATGGAGTAAAGAAAAGAAGACCATGTACATCCTTTTGCAACATATTGTACATTGGCCTGGAAAGCTTTTCCTTTTAAGCTCTCTACAAATCAGCCCACTTGTCAGGCAGAAATTTCAATTCTCTCTAGACAAATAGCATGTTTATCTTCTACTGAACTAGAGTACAGAAATCTAGAAAATATTATATGGACATACAGAAACTATTATATGATATATGTCTGCCTCTCTTTGTGTTTGTAAGGAAAAATAGAGAAAGAGTGATAAACAAACTTACTTTTGGATGATACTCTAAAACAATCATCATGGGTAAATTTTGAGTGACTGCTCCAACAAATTGAATCACATTAGGATGCCGGACCTTTTCCAGCATAGTAAGCTCATGCTGGAAGGCATTTCTGTTTGAAAAGATAGAAATTAGATAGAGTATCTGTCAGTTAGTTCCCATATAGATGATGGAGAACTGAAATGTTAAATTAGATAGAATATCTTTCAGATCCACATACATGGTGTCAGGATCAGAGTGGCTCTCTTTATCAAGTATCTTTACAGAAACCTTAGTACCATTCCATTTAGCCACTTGATATGATCCCTGCTAAGAGGTATTAGGAAGAAAAGTGTTAACAGTCTATATGTAAAAAGAAAGAAAAAAAAAAAGAAGAAAATTTATGGACCAACAGTTGAACATATATTCACAGGAAACCATATGGGAGCGAAGTACGCATCTTTTGGAAATCATGAAGAAATTAAGCAAGAAGATCCACTCCAAAACAAAAGCAAAACTGATCCATAATCTTTAATGGATGATGATTTCATGTATGTCACTCCACACTAAACTGCGCATAGTTATGAATTTAACATAAGAATTGGCTTCTCCAAGTATTATGTTCCCAATTACTCCTCTAGAATTAAACACATCCTATTACTGATTATAAAATATATCTAACGATAATATGCATGCATATACAAGCTAATGCATCAAAAGCATATTATGTGAAAGCGCCATTACTAATGCCTATCAAGGAAGTAAAGAAAATTAGAAATTGTCTGCAATTACACTTGAATGCTTTGCAAACATGAGTATGTAATTATAATATTTGCATATATGTAGAACCCTGCCTCCTAAAAAGCACTACTTACTAAAATGAGAAGTAGTTCAATATAGGAGGCTAGTGCAAAATGTTTCTCATTACAATCAATTGAAAGGAATACAGAATTAATATTAGCATAACATCAGAAACCTTGGATTTTAAACCATTAAAAATACTCAAGCGATGGCCTAATAAAATCCACTCCTTAACTTAGTGCATTCTTTATGAGTTGCTAGGAGTTCGCAATTTCTTTTCTTTTCTGTTAACTAAATTCTCGAATAAACAAAATTTCACAAACTTCTATTAATTCCACTTTACTTTATAATAGATTAAAAGGAACAGAACCTTGCCTTCGTGATGCCATCTGACTTCCGAACCTGAAGCTCTAGTGGATTAAGCTCATACTCAGGAATTTCTCGAGGATTTGCTACAGCCATCGGCGTCTTCCTGGATTTCTAAATTGAAAGCATATGTGTAAAAAATACAATTCTGAAACACATGATAACTTCCAAACACAAACAGAAAAATAATATTCTATTTGAATTGAATTTAGTTCATGTTTTACCGGAACTTTGGCTCCACGGGCCTTCAAAACATTGTAAACTTCTATATTTCCATAGTACTTGGCATCAGCAGCTGCCTGTCCAAATAAACACCATTTCATTATAAGGCTCCACATTTATTCAAATCTCCACACATTTACTCCATTTCCAACTTTCATGGTTATCATTTTTTTCATTTATTTTCCGGAAAAATAAAAAAAATAAAAAATTCAACTCTAAAACTATTTCTCACATATACAGCTCATATTTTTTAAATCTTTGTTTTTACGATGAAACCGTCCCGGAAACCCCAGCACCGATGCAAATTTTTTTTATTATTATTTAAAAAGAAAAATGTCAGCCCTCCGATCTCAATCAAAGGCTCTCAAATTTTCAAAACATTAAAAATTTGACATATTTTATATAGAATTCAACTGAAATTTGTCGCTTCCGAAACCAAAATGTAATGAATCTCAGTTTTTGAAAAAATATTTTTCAATGCAACTGGCTCCACGGTTCCGGCAACATTACCGGAATTCACGAGGAGAAAGATAATGTACCGTACCGTACTGCCCCAACGATCACGAGCGTCAATATTAGCCTTCCTCTGAAGCAGCAGCTTAACGACCTCCAGGTGTCCTTCACAAGCCGCGATATGCAACGCCGTCCGTCCGTCGAGATCAATACTATTCACATCAATACCTTCGTCGAGCAAATCCTCGACTCCCTTCGTGTCGCCTCTACACGCCAGAAACAACAACTGCATAGTCGAGTCGAGGTTCTCCGGCACCGTCAACTCGTCCTGGACCGGACTCCGCCGTATCGGATCCAGCGACGACTGCCTCCCGAAGCTGAACCTCATGTTGTTCCTCCGCGGTTCGAACGACGACTGCCGCGTCATCTGACGTGTCAGGCTCCGCCGCAGAGATCCCGTCGAGAACTGCCGCGATATCCCTTTCTTCAGTTGCGCCGCAATGTTCTCCATGCAAGTAAGCGTTTGTTAAATAATTAATCAATCAATTAATTTCCTGCTTAATTAATTAATTTAATTTAACGTTTTTGGTTTGATGGATCAAAACGGCGACGAAATGGTGGTGTGGCGCAGTGTTGCATCCACATGGAGAGGTGAGCGGTGAAGAGAGAGATCAGGAGGGGAGAGAGAGATACAGGAGGGAAACAATGGATGGGGGAGAAATGAATAAATATAGAGAAACGGGGGTCTTTCTGATATTTTCTACATTTCTTTTGGCACAGATTTTTAAGCGGAAAAAACCGTTTTTTAGTTATGCAGTACGTTAACTTTAGGCGTGTATTACGCGGCAAAGACTTTGGGTTTTCGGTTATTTTTTATATTTTTTATTTTAATTATTTTATGAGAAAAAAATTAAAACTTTATTTACATGTAATTAATTAATCTTAAAGTGATGAAAATCTATAAAACAAAAACGATTTAAGTAAGGTTATTGCATTCTGATGTTGACTAAAAGCATAAAATCATAAGCGATTTTAGATATATAAGATCCTCGAATCAATTATTTATTAATTTTAAATTGACGAACACTCTACCATAAATAAAGTGAATGACTAACCTCGTTTATTATATAATATGTTCACTCAGATAAATAGTCATCTTACGGCATATGTATACTTTTTACAATTTTTCAAAAATAGAAAAGTTGGTAATAGTGGCTATCCGTCAAGAGCATAAAACTATTTTTGTTATTGACTTTTAAATTCTATAATTATTCTCATATATAAGATATTTACTATCATCGACATCATATTATTTATTAAATTAAAATTGACAAATATTCTCGAAACAAAAGTCCAAACACGAAATAAGTAAAAAATTACTTGTTGCTCTTTTGATGGATGATAGGATGTATATAATCATTTATTATTGACTTTTAAACTCTAAAACTTATCTTAATCGTCAAATCACTATATAAGTTTATTATTAATTTTAAATTGACCGACATTCTCAAAATAGAAATTCAAACACCAATTAAGTAAAGAATTTTATTATTATTGAATAAGAGGATATTTTTACGATCGAGTTTCTAATGACCAACATATCAATCATTATAATATAGGATATTCGTTCGATATTGCTTACTCAACGTGCAATTTATTCCATCCATTTTTTTTTTTTTTAAATAGTTAAAAGGAATTGGCTTTATACGCATGAAATTAAGTCAATTTCATACAAAACTTTAACCTTACTTTAATACTTTATGGTAAGACAAGAAGTTGCTAATATTTGATGACAAATGGGACAGGTGGCAGTTAAAGAGCGGTCAGGTGGAGCCCATTACAGGAAATGGGCTACGCCCACCAATAATTGACTTAAAAAATTTATCTTGATGTGATGGGAAATGGGCCCCCATTTAATTTTGTCACGTTGCTTTTTTTTGCCTTCAAGTATTTGATGTCACAATGTCACTGGCCCATATGATGGCTTCTTATTTTTTAATAGAGTTAGTACTCTAACCTCCTTAAAGTTTAAGAACTGTAAAATAGACCCCAAAATTTTGAAAACCACCTTTAAATTGAAAGAATCATCATTTACCTCCTTTTAATAGTATAATTTTATCGTTAAAATTAACATGATAATGACAAATAAGTAATGACTTTATGTAATGTGAATAAAGTTATTATTTATCTTTTTATACATAATATGTATCGGAAGAAATAAATATTTTATCTTTTAGTATTCTTAATATGTGTTTTAAAAACATACGTTAAGATAACTCGTTTTTGATCGAGTTATATATTATCTCTCACCTCTATGAGATTTAAGCAAATATTAGCAAAACCTCTAAGATACAACCAATCATCTCATCTTTGGAAAAATCATCACTTATTTCCCTTTAACCATGGAATGTAATGATCAAAATTAATTTAATCAAGAGATGCAAGTGATGACTTTATGAAAATCAAGGGGAGGTAATTGATTATTTCTAATAATTATGGGACCTTGGTGATAGTCCGTTAAACTTCAGAGTAGATAAGAAATAATAAGCCTTTTTAATACTATAGGACAATATGAGCTGTCCATTACTTCAACTTGTGAAGGAGGAGAAGAAGATTAGTATGCAGTGTGTGAACTCTAAAAATAATAATTAAATGAATAATTAAAGCTTGATTATTTCATTATCCGCAAGTAATGGCCTTTAAAAAGTTTGATTAAGTGTTCTACATTTGATTATATTTAAGAGACGTCGGCACTCCACTTCTCTTTACCTCCGCAAGATAGAAGTAGGAGTAGATAAAATATAACACTTGTAATCAAATCATTTCATAATTCTAAAATATTCAAAACTAAAATCCTCATCGAACTCACTAATCCATTCAACTAACTCTCTCATATCATATTATTAAATTCTTTAGTGACCATCATATTAGTAATCAAAATAGTTTAAACTTAGGATCTCTTTAATAATACACAGAAATTCTGAGAAATAAAAAATAATGCACTGTTTAAAATTATAAATTTATAAATTGTTATATAAATCCGAGTTTAAAACAAGAGTTTTCGTCGAACCCTATTTGAGAAACGAAAAACAATGAACTTGATCATGAAAGTTTATAAACAAACAAGAAGACTTTGACCTGTAAAGGCAAGAATATCTTATTCTTGATAGATATTTTATAATAAGAACACTGGTATACCGACATGGATGGGGTATCACGAGAAAGCAATAGAGGGAGATGAGTTGGAGTCACGTGAGTTTTTCAAAGCAAGACCAAGTCTTCCTCTCTACTTTTGTCTCTATACGATAAAATCAATAATTTGACTCATTCTTAGTGAAGAAGATGCTAGCCCCACCTACGCCCACCGTATTGAGATAATGTTACACCTGTCTATCCTGGACCATAGGTTAACGATTTAGACGGGTTAATGTTATTTTTGGCGATTATTACATATTCTAAATGATGAATTTATTTCGAGTTGATTAAGTCAAGTCAAGTTGAAAGAAAAAGACTTTAGACATACCTATAGTCTTGAGATAATATTACACGTATAAATTTTGAAAGTTGTATTATCGTTTATGGGTTGTTTGGATCACAAGATAATGATTTGGATGAGGTAATGTTATTTTTGGTGGCATAACATATTTTAGACGACCAATTATTACAATAATAAAGCGACTTGTTCGAGTAACGTTAAAAAGAGGACATTCAGGTCCACTTATAAGACTGGGTAACATTACCCAGTATAGATCTTGAAACTTGGAATATGTTTCAAGCGTTGACCGAATCATAATCTCGTGATTCAAACGAGGTAACATTACCCTAACGACGTAACATATTTTATGCACTATTTTGTAAGAAAAAAAAAAGTCAAGGGTTACTTATACATGTGAAAATCTAACTACTCAGAGAATAGATGTACATTTGACTAATCATAAATCATTTCGCTTAATTTCGATACATGATTGGTTAGGTGTATATTCATGTGGGTAATCTACCAAACATTGTCTCATCAAATGGAAGCATATATTGCTCATGGCTATGCAATTCTAAATTCAATAGAGATCTTGTGGGCTTAAGATTTTTTTAGTGTTTTTGTTTTCCAAAATATGCTTTTGAATGAAAACGTTTTTGCAAAGGCATTTGACAAACTACTCTCTGAGATTATTTTCTAATTCTTAAAAGCACTTTTAAGAAGAGTAGATTTCAAACACTTTTGGCACTTTAAATGTTCTTTTCTTCAACCTTTGGTAAAAAGTATACTTTCAGAAAACACTTTTGAATAAGAAATCCGAAAGCATTTTCAAAAGGTAATATGTAAAGCATTTTATCATCTTACAATAGCGAAAAAGTAAATCAATATTATGCATTATTCAAGATTCCAATCCATTAGTAATCATGTAGCAAAAACGCTATAACATACTACAAAAATACCAAAAGTACCCTTTAACGCGTTGTCATCAACCAAGGCACACAATCAAAATTCTGATTAAATGCCAACAATCTCCAGCAAAGAGTTTAGAGTAAGTCAATCCCATCAAACAAAATGTGTTTTATTTCCATCAAGAAGCTTGTAAACGCTAAAATTTACAAACGAATTAAAGACTGAATCTTGTGAATATAGTCACTGATAACCTTGGTGGACCTGCAAGGTTCCTCCTTGCGTCTCTCAAGGAGTCCAAGCGATGCGAGGGGGTTGAAGTAGATCAGGGGTTTGGTGCTATGAGAAACAGGGTTTTCTGATGGTCTTTTTCCCCCTTCCATGGGTGAGCTGACCTTAACTTATATAGTAAAACACAGGGGCTCAAATCCTAGTATGACTCAAATTCCTATTTGGTAAGGGAACTCTCTTTTTGGGAAGAGATTGGATTTTTTGCCTCTATTTGTCGAGGCTTTGTCAAAAGAAGAATTTGGTTAGGATTCTAATCCTTGTTATGGACTGTTACGGGCGAATGGGCCGAACCCAGTTCAACTTAACTCAAGGGATGTCCCAACTCATAAAGCAGGCAGCTCCCAATAGGGGTGTTCAAAAAAATGCAAAAACCGGTTAACAGAAAAAACGGTTCCATTACAGTTCAAAAAATTCAAAAAATCGAATTTCCGGTTCAGTTATCGGTTCATGAAAAAATAAAAAGCGGTTAACCGAAACCGATTTTTTGAACCGGTTTTACAAATACATATAATATATAGTAAATAAAAATAAAAATAAAAATAATATATTAAATAAAAAATAATAATATAATGTATTATATATTAAATAAAAATAATAATATTTTTAATGTATTGTTAGTAATGGTCAATGGATATGTATGAATGTTTAATTTTTATTTGGATCTATATTATTTATATTTAAAATTTAATTTAGGAAAAAAAAAATAAGTTTTATAAAAGAAAAAAAGGAAAAATCGATTCAAAACCGAAAAACTGGTTTTCCCTCCAAGCCGGTTCGGTTAACCGCTTTTGAACACCCATAGTTTCCAAGATGTTCTAAGCGTGGGTCTAATCGGGATTAGGCCAAGGCTTTGGGCCATCATTTATCACTGTTACAGTTAGACCTCGTCAGGTCCAATACAAATTTTAGCCCATACAAAGATCATCTCATGACACAACCAACATACAAGTGCTTTTGATTCTTTTAAACAATTTTAGCGCACACACACAAAACACTTTTGGTCTATCGTGTTCCAAAGTAGTTTCCTAGTAAATCAATGGAGAATGAGCAAGTAGAAACACAAGATCAAGGCACAAATAGTATAAACTGCACATTGACTGCAGAATTCCACAAGTATATCTAGAATGTAATGATATGAATGAATTAATAATAAGCACAAACACCTCTCCCATCCAATGGTGAAAGAAAAAACAAACAAAAAAGCGAGTCTGGCAAAAGAAGAGCAAAAGAAATAAGGGCTCCGTTTGGTTCATTATTTTACACTTTTTAGAAAAGTTTTTAGAAAAAAGTTAAAAAAAGTTGAATTGGGCAGATATTACGATGTAGGATTTAAAAATAAATAAAAATACCCTTTAATTTGTTTATTTCTAAACACCTCCCATGTTTGTTTATTTACTAAAAACTCCTATAATAAAACATTAAAAGTTAACAAAAACACTCCCAACCCACCCATTAAATATGGATAGCCAGCCACCACCGCCGGACGATGGCCGGATTCGTCGTATCAGCACATGACCGGTTGGATCTTGCCGGTCTTGCTCCGATATGATTTTTTCCGGCCAGATCTACGGCTAGATCTAGCAATTGATGACCAAATTTGGCCATATTTGCTTGTCAAAGACGGCCAAAGATACGACCGTCGTTGATGGTCAACGACGACCTTGTGTTGGCCGTCGTTGACGACTGATTACGGCCAAAGATCTGACCTTTTTCGACCAGATCCATCGTGGATCTGGCCGGAAAAGGTTAGATCGGCACACTACCGGCCAAATTCAGCCGGTAGTACGCCATTATACTAGATTCTGACAATTTTCCGGCGGCGATGGCCAGAATTTGATAAATATGGGTTGTTAGAGTTTTTTTGTAATTTCTAAAAAAATATTTAGAAATATTTAATTAAATTAACAAATTTAGAGAGTTTAAAAAAAGTTAAATAATATTGTGAGTTTTTACAATTTTACTGTTTAACTTTATTGGGGATACTAATAGTAGTATTCCCAAATGTGAGCCAAACGAGACCAAGATTTGTAACAAGGAGCTCATATAAACATATCCATTCTCCGTCGGTCTTAAACATCAGTCAATTAAATGACTAACAACTCTAATAAGAGTCTTAGATTGGGAATTAAGACTTTAAGAAGGTGATCATAAAGATCTATTACAAAATATTACTTGCATAAGATACGCGTAAAGGCCGGTATGACCTATGACGATGGTTTTCAATTTATTTTCTTCTTCTCGTTAGGGATGCATATGAGATAATCAACCTCACCTCTAACATGATTTAATGATAACTGTTAGTATACTTGTTTGCGTGAAATACTACATATATTAATAGAATAACTTTAAAAAGCTGATGATGAACTACCAATAAAAAAGTCAAACCTAGTTCAACACAGGACATGGAAGCAACAGTTAGTTTAAGTTTCACGTATCAAAACTCTAGTGGGCCTTTCATACCAAAAGAAAGGTAGCATCTGTTAAAATTAAATATGAATATCATCATCCTCAGTTCCTTGTCCACACACAAAACCAAACTCTAAGAAACTGAATTTTAAAGAAAAGACTACAGAAAAGCAGAAAACAAGTCAGATTTCAATTCAAAATGTCTGAGATTCAAAAGATTTTGATCTTATTGACAATCAAGAAGAGGTTCTATTTCTGAGAAAAATTAGATCAAACATAAAATTCACTCCACTTTTTTTTCTTTTTTTTCCCAAATAGCAAGTAATTATCTACACTTGTAGCAACAATATTCGCAACAAACACAGCAAAACTCAATTCTCAAATCATTGATGCCCGACACAAGTCAAAACATCATCAATCGCACAATATTCAAATAGCAAAAGTGAAATAATTAAAAAGAAAAAGAAAAGAGTAAAACCAATTAAACTAAAGCTCTAGGCATTTGAAACAACTAAAATCAAGAGGATGTTCTATTCTGAGAAGAATAAGACCAAAAATACAATTCACTCTCCTTTTCCAAATAGCCAGTAATAATGTACAGTTTTTGCTACCATATTTGCAACAAAGCATATGGAAACTCAATTCTCAAATCGTTGATGTCAGTTGCATAATATTCAAACAGTAACAAGGAAATAAAGAGCAAAACTGATCTAACGAAAGCCGGAAGCATTTGAAACAACTAAAATCAATCCAAAATTAGACTTGAATCTTATTAACGATAAACACAAAATCTTTCTGACATCAAACACATAATAATCTCCTTTACTTTCTCTTCTTAGGATGAGCAGTCTTATAACCACACTTACAAGGCTTTCCCCACGGCGTAAGCGAAGTCCTTCCATGATTCCCACTACTTTTGCTTCTTCCCTCACCTCCTCCATGAGGATGATCAACCGGATTCATCGCCACTCCTCTAACCACTGGTCTTCGTCCCAACCACCGGCTCTGCCCTGCCTTCCTCAGCTTCTTCTGCCCATGGCTAGGGTTTGACACAGAACCAATCGTAGCCCGGCACCTAGTATCAATCATCTTCTCATCTCCCGAAGGCAGCCTCACTAAACAGTATCTTGAAGTGGGTTCCTTCAAAATCTTGGCTGAAGTGCCCGCCGAGCGAACTAGCTTCCCGCCTTGACCGGGGTTGACCTCAATGTTGTGAATAATTGTGCCGATTCGCATTGCCGCGAGTGGCATACAACTTCCTATTTGAGAGTTTACGTCGAGATGAGCCATTGGGCCCATCATTTTCTCTTTCAATGATTGGGTTTCTGCGAAAAGATTGAAAATTTAAATTCTTTTAGCCCTAAGGCTTTTGCGGATTCTATAGTTCAAAGATTGAGTTTTTATGAATACAAAATGATTCAGATTACCTGTGGAGAAAGAGCGGAGAGCATTGGACGGCGGGAGAAGCTTGGAGAAGAGAGACGAAGCTGAACGTAATCTGCAGAGCGCCATGGTTGTCTTTGATCTTTGCGTTTCTCTGTGTGAGTTTTAGGGGTTAGGGGTTTGAGGTCTTCTGCAAATCGTGAAATGTTCTTTGGAAGACAAAAACGACGTCGTTACTCATTATACTCATAGATAAGGACTAGGTTTTAAGTTTCAAAAACATGGGGCAGTTTAATAATTTGGAGGATAGATGGGGATGTCCATAATTTTTCTTTCTTTTTAAGAATAAAATTAAATACATAGGCTTATATATAAATGTTGGGTGTCAAATGTAAAATAAAATAGTTATTGGACGGGGACCATCATTCTTTAAGGCCGTAAGTTCAACAAGCCTTTCGTTAAGTCCTTACACTAACTGACTCTAACAAAACCATCCTTAATGTCTCCGGTGCCTTAATGTTGGACACGTTAATATTGATCGCGATTCTGCTGTGACAATAAGGGAAGATTACATTTTCATCCACTTTCGAAAATTATTGGAATTGTAACAAAAGATCAAATAATTAACGAGAAAAATCATCAGCATTACAGTGTTTTGGAAGCCAAACAAGTTATGAAGAAAAAGGAATACGTTTAATATACAGTTTCTATGAAGCAAAAGCGTCTCCGAAGGTAAGAGAGACATGAAAAGGTTTTATCGAACCAGAGAGAGATTCGTGATCTGGTGCAAACGTTCATTCAATCTATATGGAGTTGTTGCAAGGATAATAAGCTGATCATTTCTGAGGACTGACATTGACAAGAAGGTTTGGCATCTTGATGTTGGCTCTTAATCTGAGTCGGAGGACAATTCATCATTGGGAACCAATGCCGTAACCATTTTTGACAGTGTCTCTCCCATGTCGTCAATTTCATCTTTCTCGAATCTCCAACTTCTAAGTAGCTCAGCCCCGAGAGCTCCACGCTCTATTCCAAATTTTCGTAGATTCCCCAGTCTATTTTGAAGAAATGGCAAAATGGCGTTGCTTGAACGCAATCTAGCAGCCATTGGGATAGAATGAACATCGAGTGATCCTCTCAATTTAGAACCTGAAATTGGGCTGTCCAAGAGCTCACCATGTTGACCAACAAGATTCCCGAAAATTGAAGGAAATGGCAAGGGTATGGGAAGCGGACAACGAGCAACTGATAGATGACAAAACATCGGTCTACTTGTTGCATGTTCATAAACAGCATTAACCGAATCCTTCACTGCAAAAACTGAAGCATGATGGCCACCTGTTGAGCAAAGGCTAGAGGTTAAAAATATTAAGCAGCAAATGCATAAAAATTTAGAACCACATTAATATTTGAGATGCCGATAATATAGTTCAGTAAGCGGATGTGTCAAATGTGTAAGAAATTAGATCTGGGTTAAATTATGAACTTAGACATTGACTCGTATGATTGAATATCATGTAACAGAAAGTTTCCACTGACAAAAAATTAATCGAAAAGGAGACAATCTAAATGGTACCTGACCCAAGTGCTCCATGAACAATCATGGATTCCACAGCCTGAAAGTCCTCCACATTGTCTGCTACTTCTGGTGTCAAAGGCTGCAAACTCCCAAGCAAAGATTGCTCACCCTGTTTCCCTGAATTTCATTGTCCTGAATGGTTAACCTAACTCATTGCTTATAAGTAGAGCAAGGAAAGTAAGAACATCGATATAATACCAGTCAATGGTGGTGCTGGCATTGCAACATCCAGAATAGACACCATATTCTGCCTAGCTTGCCCGGCTAACATTTGTACAAAACCATTAACATCCACAGCACCAGAGACAGCAAATGAATCTGCAGTTGGCCCAACTGGCTCCATCCGGAAAGGAAGACTGGCAGAGTGTACAGCCGCAGCATAAACTGCACTACAGTGGTAAGCTTTCTCATCTTCAATGCGGAGGAATGTTGAAGCTTTACCTTCAAAATGACAAGCGGAATATTAGTCCACAAACAAGAAATGTAAAGGTAAAAAACAATAAACAACAGAGACTATCATTAGAAATCAAGGATTTTGAGTATGAACACTGAAATATATGGACACCAGAAGAAAATACGAGTCTATGAAAAAATTGTCATACAAACACAAATGAATACATGCACTCCAAAAGAGTCTATCTAATTCAAATCAATCAAAGAAACCCAATGAACAGTTACTTTTTTTAAGAAAAACAAAAACTCCAGAAAATGCTACTAAATTTCATGACAAGTAACAATGCACAAAAGATACACAGGCTGTATAACATACAGAGGAAAGTTGGAAAATCATGTTGACTAATGTATTTAACAAAATATTGCTCACTTGTACTCAAGGAGGGTAAACCAACTGGCACAATCAATTTACAGTAGGGTGCTAATCTTGAAAATGAAACCGAATCATGAAGGTGCCTGAAGACTGTCTGCTTCCTGCTTCTCAGGTTCATATAAGAAGTGGGACTGCGGGCAGCATAAAGCAACACTGGAGTGTTAGTGTACTCATCAGCAATATTCTCCAAAAAGTCTGCAGCTACTGCTGAAAAACCTCCAGAGTCATCAACAATAAATTGAAAACCCTGTCCCAAAAAAAAAAAAAAAAAGAAAAAAAAAAATGTGAGGGCATTGAGTGTAACTCATATGAGGTGCATACTGGGTCCTCCAAACTTCAAGGGGCATGAGATAAGCAATCATCTCTCTTGAAACCAAAACAGTTTATGTCATTGAAAGTTCCTAATAGGAAGTAAAATGCTTCTTAAGTGCAACATACCTGAATATGGTCACACTCTTCTACAAAAAAGCGAAGCCTCTCACATATGTCCTCTCCTTGAAAACTTCCAGAGAAAGCATCCCTTCCAATTCCATAATTGTCAAATTCCTGAACATCCATCCATAATCCACTTAATTCATAGAGACTCTGAGGATGATAGTGGACTTTTGAGAAGTCAGTCCAAAATTGTACACCATTATCTAAGCATTCAACTATATCCTTATCCTCAATTTCTCTTTGAAAACCATTCCTCTTATGTGTGAGGTTTTCCTGCTCTTCCTCGTACAAACTTTGTAAGAACAAATTCTTCTTATGAGGCTCAGATGCTTGAGTGGAAACACTACCTTTCCTGCACATTGATAAACAGAAATTCAATTTATTTAATTGCCATGTAAAACTACAATAGCATATTTAGCAATGCATAGACAAGTTTAACACACCCAAAATGAGAAAGAAAGGGAAAGCATATGGAACCCAAATTTAGAGGGCTTAAGAATTAACTCTTATCACTGACGTCAAAAACAACAAAGAACTTACGCAGTTTCCCTATTTTTCTTTGCTGAAAAATTTTAAGAACTCTATCAAATATGCAAGACAACAATTAAAGAACAAATTCAGGTACAAACTACACCAATTTTATATTTTAAAAGGTTCTCATATTACATAAATATTATTGCTAATCTTTTTTCTCTTTCTTTCTTACTCAATCAAGAACCACAGGGATTGCAACTGCATATCAGAGATATTAATTAAAAAACGTTAAGAAAAAAATTCTCACCATGTCACAACATCTGATGGCACAGAGGAAGCCTCATTGTACAATGTACCACGTGAACTGATTGATCCAAGGGATCCTGCAACATTTAAACTACAAACATAAATCTACAAAGGAAAAGCACAAGTCTTTGCAGTCTCTTTGGACACTTAGTAAAATAAGAAAAGTAACAAGACTCAGATAAGGTCCTAGCTGATAAAACTCGTAAGCTTCTGTAAACATCCATTATCAGTACCACAACGATCATAGCATCTAAGAAAACATTTAATCATTTCAAGTTCCCAAGATGATACTAACAAGTTGATCCTATTTGCTAGAGCAAAACTCAGTAAATCAAGTATTTATCAGCATTGCTTATAAATGAAGTACCTTGAAAGTCAACTGAAACTAGGCGGGGAGAATACGTAAGAACCCCCTGCAAATTTTTACCAGACAATGTTGTAAAATTTTTATTTCATCCATGAAATGATGCAAACCAAAAATAAAATGAAGAAAAAACTGAAGCAACGGTCAGCAATGAGATCTCATCAGAATTTTCATCTAGATTAAAGATTAGATACTATAAGGGTCTGTTAACCCATCAACTTCACCAAAAAATCTCTCAAACCGCTCAACTCTCCACCCGAATGATTGAAAAATAACCACCCGGCACAAGTCGCAACCGCAAAAAAAACTTACAACCACGGAAGCAATTACCTAATTACAGAAATACAACGCAAAAAGCTCCACCTGATGTGTCTCTCCGGAGCGGTAAAGCACGTCCATATTCAGACACTGATTCTTGAAGACTGAATCCCCTTCAGGATCCGAAGCCAACCCAAGTAATTCATCCTTCAAAATTAGAAATACAAAATCTTATGTTCAAACAAAAGATATCAAGCTAAAATTTCCCACTAGTAAATAAAGATCAATAAGCAACAAAAGTTACTCTTATTTTTGTCGGTGTGAGTGAATAAAGTTTACCTGGAAGTTCCAGAAATGAGAGCCAATAAAATTGGCAAAACCTCCTACTTGAATTGTCACGATTTCTCTCATAATTGCCTGCTAACAAAACAATGTTAATAGCATCTAAAAATGAAAAATGAAAACAAAACAAACCCAAGTTCACTAAAAGTTCCTTAATGAATACTGCTACTGTATCTAAAATTGAAATTAAAAAAAAAAAAGTGAAACCCAGGTTCACCACCACCAGTAAAGACCGACCGCCACGGGAAAAACGAACCCAATTCCAGAACAAAAAAGAAAAAATCACTCTTTAATGTTAAAGCCGACCAATGATGCTGCCGCAAGCTAAATGAACACAAACCTAAGAAGGGTGAAGTGGGGTCCAACGGTGGGGCCCAAACCTGTGAGGAGAGGGGCGTGAGGGTGTGCCGGAGTAACTGGCGGAGCGGAAAGCGACGAACGGTGCGTGTAGGTGTCTATGTGGAGGTGGTGCAGTGGGTTTTACGTTTGTGAAGAAGAGTTCGAGGAGGAAGTGATGGGTTTTAGAACAGCGTGGTTAAACTTTAATTAAGTTAATTTGAAGTGAAATTCCAATAAACCCCACTACTAGTAGGGTAATAACAATATGTCTATTTTTCAAGACGAGTAATACTAGTCCTACAAAGAAACATACAAAAAGGCATATTATATGCCTTTTTATAAGACTAGTATTACTCTTTTCAAAACATGAGCTAAAGACTCTTCAGGGGTAAAAAGCTAATTTCTTTATGTTGTAACAAAAGGGCCGATTAGAATTTGACGATGACCTTAAAAAATCACTTACAAATATTTTACGCTCAATCATTCAATAGAGTTAAGACTTTTTTCCACTCAAGTAATGACTTAATAATAATTTGATCGTGGAAGGTTGGGTTTTGATGATTGAGATTGAGATTGATCAAAATTTGACTTAAGAAGATCGACTACACAAACTCTAATCCCTCGATTGTTTGCGATTGGCGGGGTCGACGAAAATAGAGGTTGAGAGGCTTTGGTGAGTAATGATTAAGAAAAAGAATGGTAGTGGTATTAGATCGCAATGATACCAAAATCAGAAACTGAATTCAAATTTGGATAATAAAATAATATTTTAAAAGTTTATGAATAGAAAAATATCATTAAACTATTATTTGGGTAGAAAAAAGTTGTCAATATAACATGATTGTATCTTTTATATACCACAATTGTTAACACATAATTAGTCGATAGTTATTCTCGAGATGTTGTCTTTGTTCTTCTCTAAAAAGTGAAGTTCACGACCCATCGACCTTTTACATTCGACTTTCGATATTGTTTTAACTTAAGACACAGTTATAGCATCCTTAGGCGTTTCTATTTAATTATATCACGAAGGTTCAATGCATTAAGATTTTTTACGCCCTCAAACACTCCTGAAAAGACTAATTTCACTTTTTTAACATAAATTTATTAATAAAAATTTAGACTGAATGGAGCCCTAGTCCAATTCTGAATTAACAGATGATTAGCACTATCTTGTGAATTTTCTAACCTCAGGGGTGGTTTTGTTACTTTCCTAGGTTAAATAATTCTAAGAACTTACGACATGAAACATATATTCATAAATCATTACATATTATTAAACTTGGCGACAGATAATATTAAACATAAAACTCATAACAAGAAAAAAAAAATTATGGTATTAATTCAATTAAATTAATAAGATATTCATCGAAAAAGATTTGTAAAACAATTAAAAAATAATAAAAACTAGCAATATCTATAGAACACTTGTAATACATAATGTAAAAACTTGAAAAAAAAAATTAGCAAATTTCATACACACATAAATTTCATAATAATTAAGGGTATAAGTTTCTAGCATAGTCTTATTGTTTTAATATGTATTTTTTTGTTATAAAAATTGTTATAATCAACCAGTAAACACAAACTAACCACCAAATCAAACAATCACAAAGATTCACACAAATCACATCAACAAAAAACACAAGATATACCGTGGTTCACTTATCCAAATTGAATAAGCTATTTCCACGTTGAGCTCCGGAAATAGGAGAGCTCGCTGCACTAATTATTTGTAAAGATCCAACCAAACGATTATAAGCCTATCAATCTCTCTTTGTTACAAGAAACCCACACCGTAACTTCTCCTAGAGACACTCACTTGGAATCCCCAAGAACAAGAGCAAATCAGCCCTCTTGATTGATTACTAAACCACCCAATCAACCCAAGTTACAAGAGTTTCTAAAGTGAACCAAACAACTCAAAACAAAGAAGAAAAACGCGTAAAAGAGTAAACTGTAAAACAGAAGAAAACAGCAGCCAATTCCTTCATTGACTGTGCATCTCTCTCCTTTTACATTGTTGACTCATCTATGATTCTCAGCCATCAGATTTGGAAGAAATCAATGATCATGATTTGTTTCAGCCAAATGCCAAACGCTGCGTTTCATTAAAGTGTAGAAAGGCCTTATTTCAGTCTTCATTTCAACAATCCCCACCTTGAAGACTTGAAACTCAGGTAGTGTAGCTCACTCTAAACCATATCCCTCATAGCTCCAGGTCACTTGTGATTACTCCACTGACAGCAACTTCAAGCAATGATTGAACTTTGCTGGTGTAATGACTTTTTTCCCCATATTTGCTGGATTTTCTTCAGTGGCAACCTTCTTCAACTCAACTACTCCTTGGGCAACTAGATCTCTCACAAAATGGAATCTGACATCTATATGTTTGGTTCTTTCGTGATAGACTGGGTTTTTACTGAGATGAATCGCACTCTGGCTGTCAGAGTAGATTATGACCTTCCCATCAGATAGATTTGCTTCTTACAACATTCCCTGCAACCACACAGCCTCCTTAAACACATCTGCTATGGCTATGTACTCTGCCTCAGTTGATGACAATGCTACAATAGGCTGCAACTGAGATTTCCAGCTTATACAGTTTCCTCCAAGTGTAAAGTAATAGGCTGTAGTGGATTTTCTAGTGTCCTTATCACCTGCAAAATCAGAATCTACGAACCCAACAAGATCAAGCATAGTAGTTCTTTTGGAGTACTTTAAACCAACACTTAATGAACTGTTAAGGTACCTAAGAACCCATTTCAAGGCAGTCCAATGTTCACTGCCAGGGTTGGACATAAATCTACTAAGCATTGATATAGCAAAAGAAAGATCAGGTCTAGTGCTTATCATTGCATACATTATAGAGCCTATTACACTTGCATATGGGACATCATTCATCTTTATCATCTCAGCTTCAGTTTTAGGACATTGACTTTTACTTAGCATAAAATGGTTTGCTAAAGGCATGGAGACAGGTTTACAGTCAGTCATTTCAAACCTATTTATCAATTTTTTCAAGTATGATTTCTGTTCAAGTTTTAAGCAATTATTTCTCCTATCTCTAGATATAACCATACCTAACATTTTCTTGGCATTACCCAGGTCTTTCATAGCAAATTCTGAGCTTAGTTTCTTCTTCAATTCTTGTATTTTTGACTTAGATCTACTAATAAGTAACATGTCATCAACATACAACAGTAGATACAAAGGCAGATCCTCATCTAAATCAAAATAGAAGCAACTATCATATCTACTTCTTTTGAAACCCAAGCCCACTATGAAAGTATCAAATCTTTTGTACCACTGCCTAGGGGCCTGTTTGAGGCCATATAGTGACTTGTGTAACAGGTATACATGATTTGGCATTTTATAATCAATAAAACCTACAGGCTGACACATAAAAATCTGCTCATCTAAGCTGCCATGCAGGAAGGCAGTGGTGACATCAAGCTGCTCCAATTCTAAGTTTTGGTGAGCAGCAATGGAGAGCATAACCTTGATGGTTTTGTATTTCACTACTAGGGAAAAGACTTCACTGAAGTCTATTCCCTCTCTTTGCGTATAGCCTTTGGCAACAAGCCTGGCTTTATACCTAGGGGGATCAGAAATAGACATACCATCCTTTAATTTGTACAACCATTTACATTGAATAAGTTTTTGGTCTTTGGGTTTAGGTACCAAAGACCAGGTTTTGTTTACCTCTAATGAGTGCATCTCTTCCCTCATTGCTGCTTTCCATTTGTCTTTCTCTTTGGACATCATGGCCTCCTCATATGTTTCAGGTTCTGTTCTTTGGACTTCTGTACCTGCAAGCAAAGAAGTAAATATTAGGTCAGCATAGGGATATCTAGCAGGTGGCCTTACCTCTCTTCTGGTTCTGTCCCTTGCAAGTTGGTAATGATGTAGATCACTTTGTTGATGTTTAAGAATTTCTTCACCAGTTTCTTCTTCTGGTTGTCCATGTTCTAACTGTTCAGTTTCAGTTTCAGTTTCAATTTGGGGTTCTGTTTCTGGTTGGGTAGGGTTAGGCTGATATGCAAGTTGCTCCACCTCAATTTTTGTACTTCCTATAGGGTTAGGGTAAGAATCAGTATTCCTAACAGTTTCTTGATCAGTGACAGTGTCATTACAAGGGAATTTACTCTCATTGAACACTACATCTCGGCTCACTATGATTTTTACCCCAGGTGTTTCCCTATCCCATAATATGTACCCTTTTGTGCCTTCTTAGTAACCTAGGAATATGCATTTGGTGGACCTAGCCTCAAGTTTTCCCCCCACAGTGTGTGTATAAGCAGCACACCCAAACATTCTTAGGTGGTTCAAATCTGGTTTCCTCCCAGTCCATATCTCTTCAGGGCATTTCCCATTAATGGCGGTGGATGGGCTTCTGTTTACAAGGTAGACTGTAGTAGCTAATGCTTCTCCCCAAAATGAGTTTGGTAGTCCTGAGGTAAATAAGAGGCACCTAACATTTTCTAGTAAGGTTCTATTCATCCTTTCTGCCACCCCATTTTGTTGAGGGGTCCTAGCTATAGTTCTATGCCTTAAAATGCCATGCTCTCAACAAAAACAGTCAAACTCAGTGTTGCAAAACTCTAGCCCATTATCAGTTCTTAAGGCCTTTACACTCTTACCAGTTTGGTTTTCCACTAGTAATTTCCACTCCCTAAACCTGTTCAAAGCTTGGTCTTTGGTTTTCAAAGGGAATGTCCAAACTTTTCTGCTGTAATCATCAACTATCGATAAGAAATAACTATTTCCACCATGAGATTTAGTTCTTTGAGGTCCCCAAAGGTCAGAATGAAGGTATTCTAGGCAGTTTATGGCTAAGTGAGTCCCCTTTGAGAAACTCAGTCTATGTTGCTTTCCTAACACACGGTTTTCACAGAATTCCAGGTTAGAGATAGTGTCCCTACCAAACATCCCCTGATTACTTAGGATACTCATACCCTTCTGACTCATATGCCCTAACCTAAGGTGCCATTTTTCAGTGGTAGACAGTTTACTATGAAGCATAGTAGCATTAAAACATTCAGAGTCAAAAGCACCACACAATATATAGAGACCATTCCTCTTTTCCCCTTTAAGAACTAGGTTCTGATTTTTATACACATACAAGCATCCATTATTAGCCTTATAAGAACATCCAACCTCAT